GTGAATAAACTCATCATAGATGTGTGGCTTTAAATTTTGGGCGTTTTGTCTCTATAACTCTTCAGTGACGTTCGAATAAAAAAAAAGTTGAAGGGGATTGAGTATGTGATCTATTGTTTTGATTGTCGTCTTTTTGGCTTTGCCTATGGTGTTGTCTGTCTTTCTTAAATTATTTCTTTTAATTTTCCATTTGATATTTCTTTGCTCCTTGCTCCAAACTTAGTATTTCGTCATACTGGTTCAAAGAGTTGTATTCATTCTGATTGTGTGGTAAGATTCCCTCACACAGTTTTCTATATTCGTTTGCATTTTTCTTTTTTTTTTTTTTTTTTGGTAATGAAATGAGTACTAAATTCAGTATGCAAACAATTGAAGTCTTTCGTGAAATATATATTACAATTTGTTCCTGAATTCCAAGATATGAAAATCAACAAGCTTGCACTACCACGTTCCGCTACGTAGACAAGGATTGATGGCTATTTTTGATTGCATCAATATTCAATAAGGGTTGTCAAAGCACTTGTATCTAGAGTTTATTCCAGATCATGTTTCTCAAATATTTTCATTACAGATCTTTGTTGTTAATAAAGAAAGTAACTGTAGGAATGGTCTCAAATAATATAGTTCAAGTCATCACTTGGAAAATTTAATCATCGAAATCACGACTTTATTGACGTGTCATTTCCAAAATAACAATGGACGTAGTTGTTCGCTCAGAGCTTATGTTGTTTTGTTATTTGACTTGCCGACTTAAAATAAAACTTATCTGAATTGATTTTTAGTCACAGTTCTGTCCTCTTTTTGAAAAGCGCCTCGGACGCATACAATTTATAAAGTGTTGTTTTCAATTTTTCTCTCGTTTACGACTAATCCTCGGATATACGCCTTTTGAGTGTAACACCAATAGTCAGTCATGCTTTTTTGCTTCATATTTAATGTGTTTTGATTGTCATCTTGTCTATGACTATGTCAGTCTTTCTTCAAATAACGACTTGTTTTTCCTTTTTGCAATTTGTTTCCTTTCTTGAAAATTGCTATTGCATCATACCTAGTTCTTCAAAAAGTTATTTTAATTCCGATTTTTAGGGTAAGATTCACTACAATTTTCTTAATTTCTTTATATCATGCTGTCTTGGTAATGAAATAAGTACTCTATTTTGTATTCCAAAATTTAAATTTTAAAATAAATTCATACATTACTTACAGTGAGACGTGAGCTTGTGTTTCATGTTGAAGGTCAATTTTGACTTTGAGATGAAGAACACCTTCGTTTATTTTGGTTTTGTCAAGGTTATGTACGGATTTTGTGTAATGAAATAAGTTAACTTCCTTCCCGTTTCTGTATGGAACTGGTTCGAAAATATATGTTATCACAAACATTATGATTCATTTTCCAAAATTGGCAAATATCTTTATTTAATCTAGACGTATATTGGTGTCCGGAGAAGCGGCATAAGTAATACCTTTCTCAAGTATCGGACCTATTAGACATACGTGTCATGCATTTTAATAGGTAAGGAAACATATTAAGCATTTTTAGTGTTTTTGTTTCAGATTTTTCTCCGGTTTAACGGGAGGTAACCCAACCTGGAAACAAGAATTTTGAAGCATATGGAGTTTTTTGCAATTATTTTGAGGTTTGCATGTATTGTATATAAGAATGAAAGATAGCAGCTGATAATATTATTATCGTTTAAGTATTTCGCTATAAACCAAAGTAAAATATAAATGAAAGTTTATATTACGTTCGATGCGCATTTCTTGAATTTAAAACCTTCATTTATTTTTTTTACAGAAGCGCCTGCACTGTTCCTATGTGTCTTTTGCAGTTGAGCAACTACTTGAACACAGTTGTTTATTCGTATTCTTCAAAAATAAATTATTAAGTTATTTATAACGGTATAAATATTCAATGATAATGATTTTGATGTGAACCCGAGCTGCATCGCTGAACATAACAATTAAATTGTACTTAGTAACATCCCAGCTGCGCCTGCATATGGACTAAATATCTCCCAGTTGATACAATCATAGATGGGTTTATAAATCTATGATACAATATTTCAGGGGTTGCCATTCCCATTCCTTTTCATCGACAAATGCCAACGACAAATTTGTAAATTTTGGTGGCCGAAAACAATTAGTAATAAAAGCTTATGGGAACGTACCAACCAGGAACAAGTAATTAAACAGCTAAAGAGAAGAACATGGAAATGGATTGGCCACACCTTGAGGAACCCTGTTGATACCATCACTAGACAGACAGGCTTTAGAATGGAAGAACCCTCAAGGACATAGGAGACAGGGAAGACTTTTCACAGCTGGAGAAGATCAAGGTTGAAGGAGCTGGAGGAGATTGGATATTCCTGGAGCGACGCAAAAAGAATAGCCTAAAATAGAGTAAGGTAGGAAGCGACTGTGGCAGCCCTATGTTTCACATGGAATGAAGAGGACTAAGTCAAGTAAGTTGCCATTCCTATCATGGTTTCCTTCATAGAATGTAGCTGCTCACAAGGAAGCTATTAAACAAGAGACTCATGAGAGCCTGATATCGCTCACCTGTAATTTCAGTTTCAAGCATTTGACTTATTTGTAGATCTTACTTTGCTGAACAATTTTGTCATTTACATAATAATATTAAAGATAATACATAACCCAAAACTGTAAATTTCCTAAAAATTAACTATTTCTGAGCAGTAACCCAACAATAAGTTGTCCTATTGGTCTGAAGATTACCTGACAGGTAGATCTAAACCTGTTTAACACTTTTACCTATGCCAGTTTTGCTCTTACTGCTTTAGTTTTTGAAACTGCCGCCATGTTTTTGAATGGATCAAAGCCCATAGATACCCTAAAGAACATTCAATTAAAGTTTTTAAGTATTTGGCCAAGTAGTTTCAGAGAAGAAGATTTTTGAAAAAGTCATTAGACTATCACAAAAAATGTAAAAAAAGGGCAATAACTTTTTTTAAGGGGTCATTTGACTATTTTTATCATGTTGACTTATTTGTAGATCTTACTTAGCTGAACATTAATTGCCATTTATACTTTCTCTCTTATCTATTATAATATTAAAGAAAAATACCAAAAACAGTAAAATTTAATAAAAAATAAACTATTCCCTACAGTAACCAATCAATGGGTTGTCGAACTTTGTCTGAAAATTTCATTACAGATAGATCATGACCCATTTATCACTTTAACTCCCTTTCACTTTTGCTCTAACTGCTGTAGTTTTTGAGATATAAGCCAAAAACTGCTTTTGTCCCCTATGTTCTATTTTTAGCCATGGCGGCCTGGGCCATGTTTGTTGATGGATCAAAATTTGGATACATTTTATAAACTAGATACCCTAAGGAACATTCAGTTAAAGTTTGGAAGTATTTGGACCAGTAGTTTCATAGAAGAAGATTTTTGAAAAAGTAATAGACGCACGAAAACTTGAATGTAAAAAATAAACATTCAAGGGCAATTACTCCTTAATGAGTCAATTGACAATTTTGATCATTTGATTTATTTGTAGACCCTACTTAGCTGAACATTTTTGCCATTTACACTTTCTCTCTATCTATTATAATATTAAAGATAATAACCAAAAACATTAAAATTTCATAAAAATAAACTATTTCAGACAGTAACCCTACAATGGGTGATCCAATTGGTCTGAAAATTCCATAGCAGATAAATTTTGACTTATTCATCACTTTAACTCCAATGTCACTTTGCTCTAACTGCTATCGTTTTTAGATGAAAGCCAAATACTGCATTTATAAGTATTATGCCCAGTAGTTTCAGAGGGGAAGATTTTTAAATGTAAGCAAACATGATGAACAAATTGTGTAAAATTTTCTTTAAAGGGCAATAACTCCTTAAGGGGTCAATTGACAATTTTGGACATATTAACTTTTTTGTAGATCTTACTTTGTTGAACATTTTTGCTGTTTATCTTTATCTTCAATAATATTCAAGATAAGAACCAAAAACTGCAAAATTTCCTTAAAATTACCAATTAAGTGGCAGCAACCCAACAATGGGTTGTTCGGTTCGTCTGAAAATTTCAGGGCTGATAGATCTTGACCTATTGAAAATTTTTACCACATGTCAGATTTGCTAGATAAATGCTCTAGTTTTTGAGATATAAGCCAAAAACTGTATTTGATCCCCTATGTTATATTTTTAGCTATGGCGGCCATGTTTGTTGATGGATCAAAATTTGGATACAATTTATAAACTAGATACCCTAAGGAACATTCAGTTAAAGTTTGAAGGTATTTGGCCCAGTAGTTTCAGAGGAAAAGATTCTTGAAATAGTTTACGACAGACGATGGACGACGACGGACGCCAAGTGATGGCCTAAGCTCACATGGCCCTCAAAGGGCCAGGTGAGCTAACAGAAAGTTCCAAGTGGTGAAGTTGAAATCATTCCTTCGAAAATTTTACGGACGCCATCCTGTCCTCTTTTCCCCGAATGTGAGCTACCGAATTATACTTATCTCCGGGTTTGTACTTCAAGAGCAACACAACGGTTGCCACATGTGCAGCAGGATCTTCGTACCCTTTCGGAGCGCATGAAATTACCCCCGTTTTTTGGTGGTGTTCGTGTTGCTCAGTCTTTAGTTTTCTATGTTGTGTTTTGTATACTGTTGTCTTTTGGTCTTTTTATTCGTTTTTTTCGCCATGATGGTGTTGTCAGTTTATTTTCGACTTATGAGTTTGAATGTCAATTGGTTTCTTTCGTCTCTCTTTTAAAGTTGAACATCTTGTTTAAAGGGTATCAGCCGGGCAGCATTCAAACTGGCAATACTATTGGATATTTTCCGTTTAAAATATCTAAAGGAACACTGCTAAGAACAATGCGCATTGGAATAGTCTTGTGTTGTCGTTCATTGCGTCTACAAGCTTGAAAAGCTATCAAAACTTTTCCATTCGGTGGCTGAATTTAGTACATGGACTCTCTTTTCCTTGTTAATTTACCCAATTACTATGTACGTAAACGAAAATTTATATTCGATCTTTTATTTTCAAGTCTATAAAACGTTTTACTTTATAAGTGGTGCATGCATAAGCAGTACTTGCGTGCAAACACGTATACATATATATTCAATATAAAAACAAGGAGATGTGCCAATGAGACACATATCCACCAGAGTCAAAATGACGTGGATGTATACAAGCAACTGTAATTTCATAATTCTACATATCAAGTACGCGAGTTTACTTATATTGCTGTACGATTGTCAGTCAGATTTACACCTGTGGATCTAGAATTGCCAATACTTTGGGATCATTTTTTGCTGTTGTTGTAAATTCATCGTAAGTCACTTTCTGGTCACTGTTTAGGTCCATTTTCTCGAATAGTTCGTGCGCTACTTCAACTGGTGATATTGAAATATGAGGTCCAAGTAGCTTATAATATGCCTGAAAATTGAAACGAAAATAATTTTAAGCATAATATAATTATTTTCTGTTCAATATTTAGATATATATATTTATATTTTTGAATTTGTGATACAAGCATTTGAATGTGACACTTAACATCTGACATTTACAGCAATTTCAGCTCATTCCCTGATTGTTTTCATAACAATTAAAAAATCATGTGAAACATTGACTGTAAAATAACCTTTTTTGTTCCCGATCCTCAAATGAACGTGCATAGCTCAGCCATTAGTGAAAAAAGATCAGAAGACACAATCCAAAAACATTGCATTTGTCCCAATATAAAACTGGAAGACAGTTAAAGTGTTTCCCTTTTCTGGTTATTATTCCGTCCAAAAAAGCAAAGGCAATATTTGTGTGTCCCCATCCAATTCTTCATATTATTTTTTGTTTATTTTATATCCTCCATTTGATGGAAATCTTAATCATAAGAAAAATTCCATACTTAAAACACAGCCAACCTCGTCATGAACAGGGTCTCTACAATAAATCACCAATCACAAACCTAATTTAATGACAAATCACACCTACAGTTTCCAGAAATTCACTAGTGGCGGATTTGGTCATTTATAGCCTATTGTTTTTAATTTTGGAACTGGAATCATATCAATAGCCTCGCGTTCGGATCCACATTACTGTTTTTAAACCATTTTACAATTTTTTATATTTGAATGATTATAAATTGTTCAATTTTTGAAAATTGACAAAAGGTCAGAGAATTTACATGTTTCGATTTTTAGTTAATAAATTTGAAAACATCTTGAGGTTATAAACTTAGTTTATTTTGTTACATTTCAAAATTTCTCTTTCATTCGTGAAAAAAAGGTTAGAAAGTTATAAACTGTTTAATGTCTTAGGTTCGAGAAGTGGTATTCGTGTTGCTCAATCTAAGTTTTCTATACAATTTTTTTTATTGGTGTTTGTTCGGTTTTTTTGTTTGTTTGGCCATTTAGTTTTTGTTTATTTTAGACGCATGGGTTTTGGTTGTCATTGATATCTAATCTCTTTTTAATCGTTATCTTATATACTATTATTCTGTCCAGACAGTTTTTAGCCAAATGTTTTTAAGAGCCACTTAAGTTACTATATTAATTATTTGCCCGTAAAAATCCACCCATTGCCATAGTTAAGACACTGTAGGTATCGACATGATTGCTCTGCAAACCTCACCTCCCCCCTCAAATAAAATCAACAACAATAAAACCAATAAAAACGTGTCAAACATTTTGTTTCACGGCTTAATTTTATATGTACAAACTTCAATGTAATAAACAACATACAACAGTGCTTGAACACTGATAGGCTCCTGAACATAACCACATTACAACAAAGCCGTTCTAATCTACTGTATTATTACATCGTGATACACGTCTTATATGAAAATAAGTCGAACACCTGGCTGTGTAACACACATGGTAAAATAAGTCGAACACCTGGCTGCGTAACACACATGGTAAAACAACTACAGTGGGAAAGTAAAAGCCTCAAAGAACGAAAGAAACCCCAACAGATTTTGAACACTGACACATATCGACAATCCTCCTTACCAAAGACCATGGGTAATTGGAATCAACTTTCCCTTAAAGTCTCCTCAGCTAACACAATAGAGAGATTCATAACTGCTCTGAAAGCATGATCTGAAAGGAAGTAGTCAGCACAGCCTGTATAGTTTTAATTATACATTGGATACTGTTTTAATTGTAAATAGCTTTGATAAGAATAGCAGTGTAGCCCGACACTGCGCAATGTTTCCGCGGGACCATATACATTCATGATTGAATTCAGTTCTATACTTGGAAGAAGAAGAAGAAGAAGAAGAAGAAGAAGAAGAAGAAGAAATAATTTTCTGAAGTACCTGAGTAATTTATATATATGTATGTATAATACTGACCGTGATCATATCAGTAACTTCTTCTTCACTTAGTGCATTGCTGCCATCTTTGTCAAACATATTAAAGGCTATTGATATTTTCTGTTCTGTTTGTTTGCTGTCCATCATTGTTAAACCTGCTGCGAATTCCACAAAATCTACACTTCCGCTTTGATTAGTATCAAAGGCATCGAAAACTCTATCTGCAAATTCAGCAGCGTCTTCATTCCTGTACAATATTTGATACACTTTACGGAAGTTCTCTCTTTCAATTGTTTTTTTATGTTCCGAGAAGTCATTGAAAAATGCTTTATATTGAACGATTTGCTGATCTGTAAGTTTGAACTTCGACCTTAGATATTCCACTTGTTGATCAAAATCATCGGGTGTTGTCCCACGACCCGTGCATACTTTTCCACCCATCGCGAGTCTTATGTAACTTCGAAATTGTCTCTGAGAATCAAACGACACACATCACTGTAGAAGAGTGTTGTCAACAAACTGGTATTAATGATCGACCGATATTTAATGAATAAAATCAATAATTACTTCAATTCATTTGTTTGTGACAAAGGTGATTTAAAAATTATTACAACTCAAACTGTGTGTATTGTATAAGTCTGGTAATTAAAAAAATAACCTTTTTAGTTAGTGTTTAGAAAAGTTTATATTTTAATGCAAAAAGTTCATATTTTAAGGATGTGAAACATATACTTATATGTTGTGAGGCTGTTGTTGTTATGGCGAAGTAAACATTAACCTTTAAGAACAAGTTCAGTTACAAGGCCAAAATGTATAATGGATTGTTCAGAACATGAGAAGCTCTTGTTGAAGTGATAAAACCCCGGTGATAATGATTATAAGCCAAAGAAGGTCCAACGTGCGGAAGGAAGGACATTGTTAATTAGCACATATGATCTACACATTAGTTCGTATGAGGCTTATGTCCGTTACGCTTTTATTCATATATATTAAATGGACTGAAATGTATAGACGTGAATGATTTGAGAATATTTTATAGAAATCAATACTTAGCTGTGACTTATTGTTTTTTGAATGTCGCAGAATATCAATTAGAAATTATAACTTTTCGTGATTTTTTTTGCTAGGAGTGATGTATTATTTATCGTGAGTCTTGTGGAAGTATATTCTCCTACGTGTACAGTATAAATAAATGTTAATGCATGTGTGTAGTGACAGAACGGATTTTAGACACTTTAACAAATCAGTCAAAAAAAGAACCCATAAACTAAGAGGTACGATGAGTACCAAATGTTAAAATATTTTAGAAACTCGAGTAAAAAACTACACCAACAATATAATGAAGAGGAACGAATAAATCTACCACTTCATAAATTCTGATCAAGAATTGGTCGTTCTTTCAAATATCTCAAATATTTAAATTTTTTCAATTTCCGAGTGACACACAAACTGTGTCCTTAATCGCACCTGTACATCATTAGTACAATCATTTTTAGCTCACCTGACCCAAAAGGGCCAAGTGAGCTTTTCTCATCACTTGTCATCCGTCGTCCGTCGTCGTCGTCCGTTAACTTTCACAAAAATCTTCTCCTCTGAAACTACTGGGCCAAATAAAACCAAAACTTTGCCTAAATCATCCTTAGGGTATCTAGTTTAAAAAATATATCCGATGACCCCGCCCATCAACCAAGATGGCCGCCATGGCTAAAAATAGAACATGGGGGGTAAAATGCAGTTTTTGGCTTATACATTGTGTATCTCTGAAACTAAAGCATTTAGAGCAAATCTGACAAGGAATAAAAATGTTCATCAGATTCAAGATCTATCAGCCTTGAAATTTTCAGACGCATCAGACAACCCATTGTTGGGTTTCTTTCCCTGAATTGGTAATTTTAAGGAAATTTTGCAGTTTTTGGTTATTATCTTGAATACTATTATAGATAGAGATAAACTGTAAACAGCAAAATTGTTCAGCAAAGTAAGATCTACAAATAAGTTAACAGGATTAAAATTGTCAATTGATCCCATAAGGAGTTATTGCCCTTTAAAGTCAATTTTTCACTAATTTTCTTAAATTTTTGTAATCTTTTACAAAAATCTTCTCCATCAACCAAAATGGCCACCATGGCTAAAAATAGAACATAGGGGTTTACTATAGAAGTCTATGGGAAAATTGTAAAAAAACAATTTCAAGTGGTCACAACTTGAATACTAATTTAAATAATGATAAGGGGTCTTCAGTAACTATTGTAAGACTACAATGGGATGACCTGCTTTTAATTTAACTACTGGGCCAAATTAAACCAAACTTGGTCTCAATCATTATTGGGGTATCTAATACTATTTATTATGATTTTAACCTTATTTTACATGATTTCCAAAAACCACAGTAGATTCAGGTGAGCGACACAGGCTCTTGAGAGCCTCTAGTTATAAATTTTACTGTTTACTAACTGTTGAATTATTTTCTACTCCACGGCATATATTACCTTAGCCGTATTTGGCTCAAGTTTCTGGAGTTTTTGGTTCTCAATGCTCTTCAACTTCATACTTGATTTGAAAAATTGTACAAAATCTTTGGTGATTTTTTTGTACTGTAGAAGAGCAGGATATGCCTACCCTGCCAACACACTTCCTTTCATCCCATTTTGAGTTCATGCCTTTCCGATTGTTTTCTTTCCCATTTTTGTCTACTGATACTTGCACTTATAAGATTTGATAAATATTGATGTACTACCTTTTCATTTTAGAGTTTCAAAATTCACAATTTTTCATTAACACGTTAAGAATGTGTTTCTTACACAAAGCGGGAAAAGAGTTTTTGCATATTTTTCTATGATTCCGAGTGGAGTTTACATTGGAAACATTCGGCAAAATCTCTCCTTACATCGAGGACTTGCCAGTAAATAAAAGGAAATCATTTAACGGAACGGAGAGAAAGTTTAAACAATGTTTTTTTTTCAAAAGTGCACACATTACAATTGTACAGTAGAAAAACGGGGATTCGGAAACAAGAAGAACTTATATAAGTCCGTCTCCCTAATGCAGAGTGAATGATGGACATTGGGACTTAAACAGATAATTATTCGGCTATTCCAGAAAATAAAGAAGTTGACTGTTTAATTTCAACATATAACAATATCTAGAATTGATAGAATGTTAGAAAAGAACATCATATCAAAGACCAAAAATGAGAAATCTACGAAAAATTAAAAAAAAATATTTATATAGATTGATCTTAGGATATCTTTTACTCAGCCATATTCGATAGCCGGTCTATTATTCAGTATGATTTAAATTAATTAGAACGATACTATTTAGACCAGTATTATAGACCAAACATTTTGGTTATTACTTTAAAAATATATAATTAGCATTAATTATCCCTTTTGAAATTCGTCTTTCAAACAGAACCACAACTTTGCTGGAATCCTTAGACATACTGTCTTTAAATCTTATATGTTTTATTGATTAAACCTAACATCCAGAATAAAAAAAATGATTAACAAAAATACCAAAGTCCAAGGCAAATTAAAAAGGGGGAGTCCATAAAACCGGCAAAATCAAACACTCGACTATATCAACCAACGGAACGAATGGGAACAACTGTCATATTCCTGATTTGGTACAGGCATTTTCTAAAGAAATTAGTGGATTAAACCTGGCTTTCTAGCTAGCTTAACCTCCCATTTGTAGCTACTGATGCACTTGTATTATTCGGCATGTTAAGGTTTCTTATAACAAATAAAAATCTGGTCACAAGTCGCTTTCGGTAATGTCATAAATGAGGAAAGGTCCGTGATCACCCGGACACGTATATTCCTTTAAAAAAAGTATACCGAATCATACCGACAGCCGTTAATTTTTCAAAGAATTGACTTCGACAGTTCAGAATCTTTAGTATATACAATAGCATTCAAGAAGAGAGGAACATGTTGGCGGGGAATGTCGACTTAAATACACTCCCCCAAAACGTAACACATGTCTTTTCAATATAATATATCAAGCATTTTCTGTCATATCATTTTTATATAACTTTCGTGGAGCGAGCATTTGGTAGAATCACTCATAAGATTTGGGTAACCTGTCAGTGAAGGAAGATCTTAGGTTGAAATTCAAAAGATCAAGACAATCTATGATTATCCAGGATTCTTCTTAAGAAAGAATCTTTAGAGTTTATGTTGGTTTTCAAAGTAAATCATAGTGTCAATACCATATAATCGAAGGAGACGTTCGGAGAAGCGACATTACTTATACATAAGCACCTTACGATAAGGAATATTTAACGTAATTATCGAACGTATGGGCGTTAGAACATTGTCCAAATTGAATTATCTCCAGTTTACCAGAAACAAAATCAACATTTCGGTGTATATATGGAGGTACTCCTTCTTACAGGAGGCTTATACACAGAAGAAGAAGTATAAAGATAGATGAAGTGTGTGTGTTTCATATACCATTTAAGATTTTAAATTCTGATTTGTTCCAACGAGCTCACAGTTTTAACCCATTCGTATCAAGTTTTGCCCATTGTCTATCATAATGATCGACATAAACTATTAGATTTTTTTAAAGTTGTGTTTCCAGTTAACAGATTTAGATTAACGATATTTCGGTCTTTTGGCTAACACATTTCGGAAAGAAGTGTTGTAGATATTTTTGAGAATAACTGTTAAGGTCACCTATTTTAACGTTGATTCATTTGAATGCAGAACTTCACCAGGTGCAATCGGGAAGTAATACCTGAAGCCATCAATAATGAGATCCTGCAACAACACGCTTCAATTTGAAAATATTAGTTGCAATAGGCGTAAAAAGATTGAAACAGACTGACCTCTGAAGCAATGAGGTATTTTAGATTTGAAATTTTTGTAAAGGACATTAACTAGATGTATGGCATCATGACCTTAGTCGCTAAAGGAAAGTTTAAGGGCATACGATACAGTTTTGATCCCACGGTGAATTTTTGACGATACAGTTAGAGATAAATGGGGTCAAAATTTTAGATATTTACTCAAAATTTCGATTTCTTGGAAACTTCTATCCCTTGGAGAGACATACCTAACTTTTTTGTTCAAAAGATAAACACAATCGGATTTTTGTAAAAGCATTTGGAATATCTTCTTTAATTTTATTAGATTATCATGATTTTAGAAAAAAACGGCATTTTTACCGTATATTTATCTAATTTAAAAAAAATCATCGGTGATTTTTTCATAAAAATTGGTACAAATAATCTTCATATATAATCAAGCCAAATGTCATTTTTAAAAAGAGGGGTGCATAAACTCGTTTTCAAGCTAATGGTTAAAATCAGTAAAAAAAAGGCATCTTTTTCAGAGATGTCACAGTTTGACGTCGCGAAAATAACATTTTACGTTAGCAACGTCATTATCTCCTCTTGTAACTGTATCGTATCCCTTAAGATTAGGTTTTTTCATCTCTTCCGTTGCCAGAGGGTCTCAAAGGTCTGTGATGGCAATATCTGATGTGATAGATATAAGAAGATGTGGTATGAGTGCCAATGAGACAACTCTCCATCCAAGTCAAAATTAATAAAAGTAAACCATTATAGGTCAAAGTACGGTCTTCAACACGGAGCCTTGGCTCACACCGAACTGCAAGCTATAAAGGGCCCCCAAAATTACTAGTGTAAAACCATTCAAACGGGAAAACCAACGGTCTAATCTATATAAAAAACGAGAAACACTTATGAACCACATCAACAAACGACAACTACTGAACATCAGATAGCTATAAGTTTGTATTGTTGAAAATTGTAACTGGGTTTCTGAGCATGATAGTATAAAGAATTCAGTTTCGAAAGGAGCAGCGAACATAGTTTCGTGCGAATTCTATTGAAATGATAGCAGGTATTTAATTGAAACATTATATGTATAATGACGATGAACATGAAGAGCAGAGTTGAAACTATCCATTAATATTATCAAGCTGTACGAAGTCTTGATAAAGTACCTATAGCATCAATTACAACCATAAGGTGTCGCTGTTTTCAATTCCCTTATACCGTAATACTTTTGAGGAGTTGTACGTGATGATTGTTAGTTTTGTGGTGTATTTTTCGACGATGCGTGTATGCATAGAAAGGATTCAAAGATCAGGTTTTTTGACATTTTGAATAACGAAATTTGCTTTTCTGTTGATGATCGTAACTGTGACTGCTCATTTATTTGTTTAGCCCGCTGTCTTTCGTTTGGAAGAAAGATTTTAAGTTGAACTACTCGTGAATGGAGAATCTGTTATCAAAATATGATGTGTACAATGGCATTATAGTGAAAAGATTCCGATTCATTAAATTCTGATTGGGATTTAGGAAAAGAAGCGGAAACTAATGTGTAATATAGTGTGCGAATATGACATTTTTAGTCCATGTTATGCCAGAGTAAACCATATAAATCAAGACGAAGGATGTTAAAGTACATCATGTGATTATGAGTCTGTGAAAGTTTCACAAAATTATGTCAAGCATTTGTTTGGATACAAAGGAGAAAACAAGGAAGGAAGGACAGACAGACAGACATACTTTTCACCGTCCGCTTCAAAAAGCGAGGATGTAATAATACAGTATTGTTAAAGACAGACAGACGGACAGACAGACTATTTACCGTCCGCTTCAAAAAGCGAGGATGTTATACAGTATTGTTATAGATAATCAAAATCTCCAAAGATATTCCTGAAGCGCGACAATAGGTTTACTTGTATTCTCATCTGATAGATGTACCAAAGGGATATTTGCATCCATGGCATTGCCTTCACGATAAACTTTTTGGATGCAATATAACTTTTGCTGTTTATAGATCTACAAGAAACTTACACTATTCTTTGATGTGAATCAGCTTCTTGACAATTATTTTTAAAGTATATTTTCTGTTCCGTTATGTAATTTTAAACGATATTAACATTAAATTTTATTAATTTAATTGATAATGATTTAAAGGAAATATAATGTGAATGAGACAGAAAAATCAAGAGCACATGCTTAGAAAAAATATAAAGAAAATAAATATAGAGGCTACTATCTAGTCCTAATTTTTTACCTTTGGTTCTTTTTAAGGACACACGATACAGTTACAGGGGAGGTAATGGCGTTGCTAACGTAATATATGTTATTTTTGCGACGTCAAACTGCGACTTATCGGGAAAAGATGCATTTTTCGAGACATGATACTATATGAAGATTATTTGTTCTAATTTTTATGAAAAAATCACCTGATTTTTTTTTAAATTAGATAAATATGCAGCAAAAAATGCTGTTTTTCACTAAAATAATGATATTTTAATAAAAAATAATTATTTTTAAAGAATTTTTACATAAGTTAAGAGCATACTTTTGTAAAGAAGATATTCCAAATCGTTTTACAAAAATCCGCATGTGTTTGTCTTTTGAAACAAAAATGTTGAGCATGTCTGTCCAAAGGATCAAAATGTACAAGGAACCGAAATTTTAAGAAAATGTCTAAAATTTCGACCCCATTTATCTCTAAATTTAGCACATTAAGGTATATTTTTTATTACATATTTGAATTAACTAAGTGAAAAATATTTTGTATGCAAAATTTCGTAAAAAAATACCGTGGGATCAAAACTGTATCGTATGCCCTTAACCAAAGCATTGATCAACAATTATAAAAATGAATATGGTTTATCATTGGTCAAGCGCTTTTCCAAATTGGAATTGTTTAAACTAATATATATGATTTCATATGTTTATTTTACATGACTGGACCCTTTATGTTTAAAACAAATCTGTGTAAGTACTTTTTCTTCTTAACTCGGAATGTTCATTTGACATGTAATGACATCTTTATTGGTTTCCAATATTACGTCTGTTGTCACTCTCTAAACATCCATGACTCATCCATAAGCATTGCGTCTCTAGACATCCATTATCATTGCGTCTGTTGCAGAGAGACAAAATAAACACGAGTCTTTAAGCCAATTTTCGTATTAAGCCATAAAATGGGATACAACAAAGATACAAATAATGCTATATAACACTGTGTGCACTTTCAAGCAGTACACGATGTAAATGCTGCATTATATCCAACTAGTACTTTGAAGTTTTCAAGCTTTCGGATTAAGAATTTCCAGCACAGTTGGATCCCGTTTTGCTACGCTAGCAAATTCCTCATATGTGACTGAATCATCTTTATCAAGGTCCATTTTTTTAAATAGGTCATTGGCTATCTCTACTGGTGATCTGCTAACGTCAGGTCCCAGTAGTCTGTAATAAGCCTGCAAATAAAACTTTTGTGATATTTAAAGAAACTTTAAACTAGTTTAAAGCTGAATGTACATTTAAACTTCTTTTGTTACTTCTCTGCTTCAGAGAAACCATTCGAGTTTTCCTCAAAGCTGTGTCGATAGCAGAATTTTTGTATGCTAACAATTGACAAAGAAAACATAGCAAAGTGAAATTAAAGCAGGTTGGTATTTTTCACGAGTTCTCTTCATCGGTATATTCAAACGTGGACCTTATTTGAAACACAAAAACGTCTTCTTCTTTCACAGATGTATCTGTTAACATGAATAATGGAGAACGATATTATAGTCCTACATATTTTAAGCAATTTTGATAAGATCTGAAATTTAAAATACCAATCACCGCGGGACAAAGTTCACAATGCATCCTATTAGAAATGTATATATGTACTGCCTCCTATCAAAAAGCGCTGGAATAGACATCACCAAAATGACAGGAATGTTCATTTGAATACACCTACAAGAATTTGTGACTTCCTTTCCGATTCGCAATAGCCTCAGACAGCAATGAATGAATGGTCATTCTAGACAAATTTATGATTTTGTTTCCAATTAATACACAAGATGATCTCTAAATTGAACTTAGTTTAACATGTGGAAAATAAAGAAGTAGCTTCCCTTGAAAACGGCTGGGTAAATATGAATAAAATGAGATGTTGATTATGGGTTAATGATACAACAACCCCCTTAAACACCCAGACCTAAAACAGCTGTGAAGACATTACAGAGAATTTCAATCAAAGGTCATCAACACACAATTCTCCAAATGACATAAAAAAAAAGATATGACAAAAAACAACCATTGGCCTAGCTTGGGACATGTACATGAACATGTGGCGTAGCAAAACTAGTCTAAGAGACCTCAAACCCCCCATTTTAATCTCGGTCAGGGACTAGTAACAGGTTCATGAAATAACACACAATAAAACTCGGTACAGAAAAAAGATTTATTGTATAAAATAAATAACAAAAAAAATCCAATCGTCGAAAAAAAAACCAAAAACAATGCAAACAGTCTATGAAAGCAATCTCAAAGTACATTACCTGCTGATATGAAATATGAAACCGCCCTATAATCTAATATCGGTGGCTGTATTTCACAGTAGATTTCATTCAGCATCATCATAACAGTACAGGAAGCGAAAACACAGTGAATTTCACAGCTTTGACATAACATCAAGAACAAATATTTTCAGAATTTTGATTCATACAACCAAACGCAATCATCTGTATTCTGCTTCAAACTTTCATTCTAAATATACCAGACGCTAGGATTGAATAACAACAGTATAACCATAATCATTATCAATAAGTCCATTCAGCCAAAAAGGACGATTTAAATGACAATTCCTAATCTCGTAAGCTTTATAAAATTGTATAAATTTATAGATATCTATTGATATTATCATTGCCACTGAACATAATTATATTTACCTAGGAGTCTATGGCAATACCATTTGAAATTCATATTATTATCAAACACTCCTTTCTCAATTGTTATTTTTGTTTGTTAGAGAATCAAGGTAGCTGCCTCTATTGATCATAGTTTTAAATAGATTCTAGTAGTTGTTTATGTTTTAGTATATAAAGGATTTAACTGAGATTCAGATGCTTCGGATGTATATTTTATTACCTCAACATTTCCTTGACTTTTAAATGCATGTTTTTCTATTTTTTTAGTGATCGACTGTTTTGACAAGGTATTGCTGCCATCCTCGTCATACATACTGAAAGGGACTTTTATTGACATGTTCTTACCTGTATCATGTTAATGACTTCCTGTTTTGACAAGGTATTACTGCTATCCTCGTCATACATACTGTATGAGACTTTAACTGACACGAACCTAACTGTATCATGTTTATTACTTCCTGTTTTGACAAGGTATTGCTGCCATCCTCGTCATACATACTGAAGAGAACTTAAACTGACCCGAACCTACCTGTATCATGTTAATGACTTCCTGTTTTGACAAGGTCTTGCTGCAATCTTCGTCATACATACTGAAGGGGACTTTAACTGACACGAACCTACCTGTATCATGTTAATGACTTCCTGTTTGGACAAGGTATTGCTGCCATCCTCGTCATACATACTGAAGGGGACTTTTATTGACATGAACCTACCTGTATCATGTTAATGACTTCCTGTTTTGACAAGGTATTGCAGCAATTCTCGTCATACATACTGAAGGGGACTTTTATTGACATGTTCTTACCTGTATCATGTTAATGACTTCCTGTTTTGACAAGGTCTTGCTGCAATCTTCGTCATACATACTGAAGTGGACTGTAACTGACACGAACCTACCTGTATCATGTTAATGACTTCCTGTTTTGACAAGGTATTGCTGCAATCCTCGTCATACATACTGAAGGGGACTTGAACTGACACGAACCTACCTGTATCATGTTAATGACTTCCTGTTTTGACAAGGTATTGCTGAAATCCTCGTCATACACACTGAAGGGGACTTTAACTGACACGAACCTACCTGTATCATGTTAATTACTTCCTGTTTGGACAAGGTATTGCTGCAATTCTCGTCATTCATACTGAAGAGGACTTTAACTGACACGAACCTACCTGTATCATGTTAATGACTTCCTGTTTTGACAAGGTATTGCTGCAATCCTCGTCATACATACTGAAGTGGACTTTAACTGACACGAACCTACCTGTATCATGTTAATGACTTCCTGTTTTGACAAGGTATTGCTGCAATCCTCGTCATACATACTGAAGGGGACTTGAACTGACACGAACCTACCTGTATCATGTTAATGACTTCCTGTTTTGACAAGGTATTGCTGAAATCCTCGTCATACACACTGAAGGGGACTTTAACTGACACGAACCTACCTGTATCATGTTAATGACTTCCTGTTTGGACAAGGTATTGCTGCCATCCTCGTCATACATACTGAAGGGGACTTTTATTGACATGAACCTACCTGTATCATGTTAATGACTTCCTGTTTGGACAAGGTATTGCTGCCATCCTCGTCATACATACTGAAGGCAATGGATATTTTCTGTTCCAGCTTCTCACTATCCATCATTGTAAGTCCTGCTGCAAACTCTATAAAATCTACAGTTCCACTCTTATCACTGTCAAACACGTCAAAAACACGATCGGCAAATTCAGTAGCATCGCCACTTTTATATATAAGTTGGTATACATTCCTGAATTCGCTTCTTGTAATCACCTTGTTGTTATCGGAATGATCTTTGAAAAGTGATCTATACTCTTTTAATTGTTCATCTGTTATTTTGAACTGTATCTTGAGATATTCATTTTCACTGCTTAAGCTAGCTTTCTTTTTCAGAGTACGCTTAAGCCTTTCTCCACCGTGCTTGTTGCCCATTTCTGTAAAATAATTCAATAAATTTATTTAAACCCTTTTTGCGACATAGATAAAATATTTATCTAGCAAACAATACCTGGTTGCATTGTATTGATTATGAACAAGAACAATTACTATCTGTCAATAAGTTAAATCTCGGGTATGTCATTTGAAGAAACTGTTCAACAGATCAATGACTATCTAAAAATCTGCCTGTTATGACTTCCTTGTTATTTACACCTCCGTGCATAAAATCACGTGACAAGAATGAAACAATGTCAACTCTACGCCTCGCTCTTGTATACTTCTACGAAAAAAGTCTCGGTGGTCTCGTATGGCCCATGTACTAGCATATACCATGGACCTCCGATTAGAATAAACTACTTCTCCAAACTTTTCTTTATTCGAGGCGATTTTATGCTTAATTTTAAAAGTTTATTGTTGAATGGAAGAAGAAGATTCAATTAAATTAGTGCTGAACTTTGTCTAGACTTTGCTGAAGAATCAAGGCGATTTAGAGCTTAATCCTGGCAGTTTTAAGTTAAATACTCAAGGAGATTTAGAGCTTAATCCTGGCAGTTTATTTTTAAATACTCAAGGCGATTTAGAGCTTAATCCTGACAGTTTATTGTTAAATACTCAAGGCGATTTAGAGCTTATAAAAATAAGATGTGGTATGATTGCCAATGAGATAACTCTCCACCAGAGACCAAATGACGTATAAGTTAGCAACTTATTATATTTTTCATATCATAATTGTATTTCGTCAACATCATTTCTGTTGAATAAATAACTAATTGGACGTTTAACGTTTATTCATCCGTCGATTTTATCCTATCATTATCGGGTCTATGTTCTATTGCATGTGCGAACAAATAACAGCAATCAACCAGTTTATTCTAAAGCGATAATTACAGATATAAATATCAACACTCTCCTCATTGTTCTTCGGAAGCATTCTTTTACTTGACCAGATTTTCATAAATAATTTTACATTTACATATTAACAGTTTAGTCCTTTCTTTTGAGAAAGAGTCGGTCTTCATGAATATTGGGAAAACTTATTTCGGGTGCATTTGTTTTTTTTCAAACCTTAGAATAGTTCAACCATATTTCATTGTACGTGTTAAAAAAGTCAGGAATCAAGTTATCTTTGTTGTGTTTGTTTTGTATTTGTTTTGTGTACTTGTTGTAGATTGTGCCACATATGGAACATAATCTGCTAACCCTTCCGGAGCACCTGAGATCAACCTCGGCTTATATGACCAATTATCAATCACGATAATCATGAATGCACAAACATAATATATATCTGAATGAAAAAGTACAGCGGTAAATGTGTTCTAAAGACAATCTTAATTCATTAAATGCAAAAACAATACAAACACACAGAATTTCCAAGACGTAGAATATTACAGAAGAGACTTGAAAGTTTCTCGATCAAAGTGTCAAAAGATATTTTTTAGAGTCAAAGGAAAAGTTTCTGGAGCAACTGCTGAAAAAATAGCAATATAAAGAGATTACAGGTGGGGGAAATCGTTAATATTTCCTTGAAAAAATAATTATGGGAAGATCGACACTGTTACCTTTTTTCACTAAACACTAATGTCGAGAATGAGTTATGCTTTCCATGATACTTGTAAAATACAACTATGTCATTTTTGCCGGCTTTTCAGTTTTGTAGTTTTACTGTAATTGATTTGTAAATCTTCCCACCCTTATCTTCTTTATGAAAATGAGGACACTTAATCCTAGTTTACATATTTTAACAAATTCAGTAAACAGATTTGTAGAAATAAAATAAGGAAAAACAAGTTATAACTCAACAACAAAACTTACAATATCAAATAAAAGCAAACATAACGAACAAAGTTTTTGATCAATACCTAATTGCATTTTGGAATCACTGTTGCTAGCCATTGGTATGTCACTCTTAAAAGTAATTGAACAAATATACATATTATATTCATATGCTAAGTTAGATAGATTTCAATATTAATATTGCCAATTATAACGGGTTTTGTACCGTTTGTTTTTACGATATATTTATCTACTATTCATAAGTTATATACATCAGATAATTGAAAAAGAAAGAAAAAATAAATATATGATCCTCGCTAACAATCTATTCCTTTTATAAAATGCATTATTTCAAATTTGACTGGTTTTTTTTCTAATATTAACTAAACAAAAAAGCTCAAAACGTACTTATAAAAAGATGAACATACTAGTATGATAACGTCTAAATACAAAATAATGGTAACAGGAAATTAGCGCAATTTTGGAACATTCTTATCTGTGTAACATTAACTTTGAAGTTAACATGCCGTATACTTACTAATATCAAGATCAAGACAAAAGTGGAAAAAAAGATTGTGTGCCTACCTTGTGCATATAATTTAACAGATAGAAATTTAAGCTTCGGTACCTTGTCTACATGATAATAGTCAGGTCGATACGGCATGGAAATCAAGAACTTATACACGATTTAAATTATTCATACTCCATACCGTGATACAAACTTCACAATAGAAACAAATTCTTACAAAATAGAGATCAATTGACAAGATTTTCTTCATTCTGATCTTTATTTTCCAGCTGCTCTATTTGCAGTCTTGGCTAGTATAACGAAAGTTACAGTTATTCCTTTCGACGCGTAATAAAATGGAAATTGCTTGTGTTGTTTTCTATACAGATTCTCCCAAATGTCAGGTATATAGAATCTGTTGGAATTGATATTTATAATTCAATCAATGGCTTATAGAAACGCTATTGAATTGGGTTTATGAATCAAATTTCTGCACAGTTTTATACACAGATACGGTTTTAGATGATCTTTATGTTATCGATATTTAAAGAATGTTATTATTTTTCATCAATTCGGCAGAAACAATATGTTTTTGTACAAAAGACCTCCAGTCTGAAATATGTCTGCATGTGAGTTACTGTACCCGGATTTTTGAAAGCGGGTTAATTTCAGAAAACTTACTGTATAGATTTATTGAACGGTTTTATGCTCCCAAGAGCCGAATCGCTCACCTGGTGAAAAATATGCCAATTTGATATATTTTTTTCATTAAATGCAATCAGTAATTTTGTTTGCTTATTTGTAGATATTATTATATGGCAATTTTGCAGATCTTGTATTGAAAAATTGTTTTAAAAAAGACAGTTAATTTGTAAATTAAGAATAAGAGCTCACTCTTTAAAAATTGAGACAGACAGATATTAAAAAAAAATATATAGATAGATCTGATCGTCTCTGTTCAAATTGCTCACTTGGTAAAGTTGAAGATGAGCTTCATTTTTTGTTAGAATGCCCTCTTTATGATATTCAAAGGGAAGATTTTTTTCAATACATTTCTAACAATTGTTATAATTTTAAAAATTTAAATAAATCTTCTAAATTTTTATGGCTCTTGACCCAAGAAAATGTAACTCTTATGGAAAAACTGGGCTGTTATATTTGTGACTGTTCTGAATTAAGGAGATCATGTATGAATATTGACACTAAGTCAAGTAAATGATTTGAGAATGAAAGCAGATAATGTAATTTTATTCTTTTATTCACAATATATATGTGGTTTTTGGCTCTGATTCTGACCAATGCTAATATACTAAATATATATTTACAAGTGACTATTATTGTTGTTGTTACCAATTATGTAAATCAATTGTATCTGATTTTATGCCCTCTATCGGCCCTGTAATTTGGGAAATAAAAATATTCTATTCTATATTCTATTCTATTCTATTGATTATCATTTGTACTGTTTAAAGTTATTACATATCTCTTTAAGTTTTTGATATAAAAAAATCCATTTAATGGCAATAAATTCTATAACTAGTGTAATAATTTGGTCGTGTTGACTAACTTGTAGATCTTGTTTTGCTGATTTATTTTTTTATCTTTTTAAAGTTTATTTCTAACGCCTATAGTTTTGACAAAAATGCAAAAATGATATAAATCATCATTCACGGGAAATAACTTCTAGAAGGCTTCGGTTGACAATTTCGGCCATGATGACTGATTTGTAGATCTCATTGTGCTGAACAATTTTGCATTTTTATTGTTTCTCTCTTTATATTATAGCTTGTGTAAAAACTGTAAAAATGGAAAATATCATCTCTCAGTCAATTGACGATTTCGACCATATTTTACTTATTTGTATATCTCATTTTGCTGAACACTTGCTGTTTACAATTTCTCTCCATCTATTATAGTTTCTGCAAAAATCGCGAAACAATAGTTAAACTAGTTTCTCAAGGGAAATAACTTCTATAAGGGGTCAATTGACGATTCGTCCATGGTAACTTAAGTGTAGATCATATTTTGTTGAACATTTTTACTGTCCAAATATTCTCTCTATCGTCTATAGTTTCCCTAAAAAAAAATCCGAAAACGGTAAACATCAACTTTAAAGACAATAACTCCTATAAGGTGTCATTTGTCAAATGACTACCTTATAGATCTTCTTATTCTGGTAATTTTTTTCTGTTTAGAACTTCTCTCTATCTGTTATCGTTTTTAAGATGATAACTTATACTGCAAAATTTGCAAAAAAATGACATTTGAGGGGCAATAACTCCAAAATGGGTTGTCCAATTTTTAGAAAATTCTCTATGTGATAGACCTTGACCTGCCATCTACTCCTAATTCCTGGATCCGCCTTTACGAAGAACAAACCATAGAACATTCGCTGGTTCAATTAACAACATCATACGAGCATGAAAAGTACATCATACTGACTTACGGTTTACTCAATGCGTCAACTATACCCCTTATAATGAACCTGCCTAAAGGCTTTACCACTCCTGAAAGTGAGTCTGGCTTTCAGATATGATACATACTTGAAAAATGAAATTATAATAGGGAAATACGAAAAGTATGTTTAATAAACCTACTTTTGCTTGAATGCTGACCTACTTCCAAAAGTAAACATTAAAATTGATTGATTTTTTTGTAATTTCATTGGGGGTGTAAAATCGTTGACTGAAGCTCATTGTGTATGAAGCACAAAGCGCTTCGCTTCATACGACACATGTGCACACGTTCTATACTTTTACTACCATATAAAATTACAAAACAAGGATT